AGATCACTAGTTTGGAGCCAGCCTGGGCCACATAGTGAGATCTTACATCAATTTAAAAAAAAAAAAAAAAACAAAAAAAAACTAAAGTAGGTTGAGAATCTTGTGATCCCAGACTTTAGGAGCCTTGAGCCAGGATCATAAATTCAAACCAATTTGGCTACTTAGTGAGGTCATGTTTCAAAAGAGGGTGGGAGACTAGTGATGTAGCTCGGGGTAGAGCACTAGCCCAGCATGCTTGAGAACCTATCTATTAAATAAATAAATAAATAAATAAATAAATAAATAAATAAATAAATAAATAAATAAATAATAAAATATTTAAAAACCAATTTATCAGCTGGGTGGTGGTGGTGCATGATTTTAATGGGAGAGCCTACATACTTTGTTTCTAAGTTACATTGGTTTCTCTATATACACATGTATTTTGTGGAGGCAGGGACACATGCTATGGCTCATGTGGAAGTCAGAGGACAGCCTTCGGGAGGCTGTTCTCTCCTTCCACCATGTGGGTTCCAGGCATTGAACTCAGGCCCTCAGGTGTGGTGACAACAAGTGCCTTTGCCTGCTGATCCATCTGGCTGGCTCTAGCCCACAGACTTCAGCAGACAGAGCCTTCCACTGGCAAATCTTTGGAAGCCTGGGCTTAAAGGAGAATATTGCTTCAAACTCCCCTGAGAAGCAGAGCCCATTCAATTCCATGCCTCGGAGATCTGCTTCTGAGCTGTTTCTGTATGCCCGGCTTTGTCCTAGGTGATCAGAGGTCACTAGAAAGAGAATAACTGGGCTGAAGATGCAGTTCAGTCGGTAGAGAGATTGTCTAGCAGGAGGGAATCCCTAGGTTTGATTCCCCAGCACCACATAAACTAGCTGTGGTGATTCATGCTTAGAATCCTCGTATTTGGATGCTGAAGGCAGAAGACCATAAATTCAAGGTCAGCCTAAACCACATAGGGAGTTACATAGCCTGGGCTACATGAGACCAGGGAGGAGAGAGAGAGAGAGAGAGAGAGAGAGAGAGAGAGAGAGAGACTAACGAACATGAATAAGAATACTTGGTAGGTGAGCAGGCCCTGGGGTGACTCCCTGGGGAATTCTTGGTCTAGCTCAGTCTGGGCTTCCCCAGCCTGGCCTGGGACCTGCCTCAGGGTGAGTCCCTAGTGTGGTGGGCCTCTTAGAAAGCTGTAAAGCTGGTTTGAGGGTGGGAGGCCAAGAGGAAAGCAATTCCCGCCCCACCTGATGCCAGAATAAAGGGGAGCCAGATCTGGCCTGGGATGCCAGCGCTTAGGAGGAAGCAGGAGCTTAAAAAAGATCCAGGCCAACCTAGGCTATGTAAGAGGTTCAAGGACAGCCTGGATGGGGAGGCACTGAAGAGAGAGAGGACCATTCAGAGAGAGAGAGAGAGAGAGAGATTATATACATATCCCCGTGTCCATCCATCTAATTTCCTGTCCGTTTCATTTCTCTGCATCTGTCCTTTCAAACTTTCACTCATAACCCTCAGCCCATCTTTTCTTCAGCCCACCCTTACCTTTCACCTGTCCATCCGACCCTCCCTCTGCCCATCCTGCCATATATCCAAGCCAACTTTCACCCATCCATTTATATGCCTGTTTTCCTTCCTTCCATCCATCCACCTGCCTATCCACCTGCCTACCTAAGAATATTCTTAGTCTCTTAATCCCCGCCCCCTTCTTCCCTGTGGTGCTGGAGGTTGAACTTAGGGCCTCACACAGGCATAAGTGTCCTACCATGGAGCTACATCCTCACCCCACTCCTCTCTTTTTACACTTAATTCCTCTGTTGCCCAAGCAAGGCATTGAACTTGTGATCCTCCTGTCTCAGCCTCCCAGAGAGCAGGAATTAGCCTGTGCCTCCAGGCTTGGTTCCGCCATTCCATTTTTTTTTAATTTTTTTTTATTTTACAATACCATTCAGTTCTACATATCAGCCACGGGTTCCCCTATTCTCCCCCCTCCCACCCCCTCCCCTTACCCCCAGCCTACCTCCCATTCCCACCTCCTCCAGGGCAAATCCTCACCCGAGGACTGCGATCAACCTGGTAGACTCAGTCCAGGCAGGTCCAGTCCCCTCCTCCCAGACTGAGCCAAGCGTCCCTGCATAAGCTCCAGGTTTCAAACAGCCAATTCATGCAATGAGCACAGGACTTGGTCCCACTGCCTAGTTGCCTCCCAAACTGATCAAGCCAATCAACTGTCTCACCTATTCAGAGGGCCTGCTCCAGCTGGGGGCCCCTCAGCCTTTGGTTCATAGTTCATGTGTTTCCATTCATTTGGCTATTTTTTTTTTCAATAATTGAGTAAAACCAAAATTTAGCCAGAACCTGGAAACAACCTAGATGCCCATCAACGAAAGAATGGATGAAAAAAAAATGTGGTACATATACACAATGGAGTACTACTCAGCAGAGAAAAACAATGAAAGCATGAAATTTGCAGGCAAATGGATGGAACTAGAAAAAAATCATCCTGAGTGAGGTAACCCAAACCCAGAAAGACAGTCATGGTATGTACTCACTCATAAGTGGATTCTAGATATAAAATAAAGAACAATCAGACCACAACCCATAGAACCATGGAGGCTATATATATAGCATGGAGGTCCCTAGGACGACTGTGGCTTATAATAAATTTCGGTTTTACCCACCATTCCATTTTAATGGATACTTCTTTATTGTTGACCTCTCCTCTCTGCTGGGAACCAGAAGGGCTTTCCTATCCCTGGAAAACTCATATTTGAGAGACAGAAGCAGAAGGGCTGGCCTGTGTCCAGCCTTCTACACATCTGCTACAAGGAAGCAGCCTGACTCAGAGTAGGGAGCGTGTTGCTCACTCGATTCTGAGAAGGGCCACAAAAAAAAAAAAAAAAAAAAAAAAAAAAAAAAAAAAAAAAAAAAAAAAAAAAAAACAAAAAAAAACAAACAAAAAACAAAAAACAAAAAACTGCTCCACCTGTATGAACAAGCTCTGTGAACATTAGGTAAAGGAGGCAAACCCCAGACTTTAGTTTGCTCCTGCCATGTGCCAGATGGAAGAATGTCCCAGTCAACCTTCATGGTTTCTGTTTCAGCCTCATTTTAGAGCTGGAGAAACAGGTTCAGAAAGGAGGCTTGGGAAGTGGTAGGTATAGGCTTTGCCTCTTTTTCTTTTGAGACAGGGTTTCTTTGTAGACCAGGCTGGCCTCGAACTCACAGAGATCTGCCTGCCTCTGCCTCATGAGTGCTGGGATTAAAGGCTGCGTCACCACACCTGGCTGCCTCTTTCTTCTTTGTTGCATTTATGTGGTGTGTGTGTGTGTGTGTGTGTGTGTGTGTGTGTGTGTGTACCCATGTGCCATGGTGCACATGTGCAAGTCAGAAGGCAACTTGCAGGAGGTAGCTCTCTCCTTCCGGCAGGTGGGCTCCTGGGATTGAATTTAGGTCATCAGCCTTGGTGGCAAGCTCCTTTGCCTGCTGAGCTGTCTTCCTGGCCCTTTGCTACCTTCTTGCTGTTTGTTTTTGGGCAGCTCCAAGGCTTGGTTTCCTCATCCCCATTCTGGAAATGGTATGTACTCTACTCTCAGGCCACTGTGAGCTTATGGCTGATGTGACAGAGTATATGCAAATCCTAGGCCACGGAGCGACTCTGCTGATGCTCAGCTAACAGTAGCTGTTATCAGTATTTGAGAAGGTGGGATTCAAACTCATTTGCTCTCCACCACTTCACAAGCCTGGTGTCTTCCTTGACCCTCCATTTCCAAGACCAGCTGGACCACAGAACTCACATTTCCCAGGCAGCTGCCAGTGTTGGCTGCCTCTCAAAGAGTGTCATCACTCACAACTACCACGGATTGCGTCCCACACCATACATTGAAGCTCCAACCCCTAGTACTTCAGAATGTGAGTAATTGAACATGGGATTGGTTCAGATGGGGTTCAGTAGAATGGAGAAGGCTTTCATTCCAGTACAGTTGATGTCAAATAATGAGGGGGTAACCTGGGCACAGACAATCAAGTGGATGATGGGGTTATACTGCCAGAGCAGGGGAGCTATGGGAAACTAGAAGCCTGGGCCAGATCCTTCCCAGTGCCTCCAGGGAGCTGGCTCTGCTAAGACCTGGATTCTGGATCACCAGGCTCCAAAACTGAGACAATAAATATACACAGTGTGGGGGCTGGAGAGATGGCTCAGTGGTTAAAGACACTTGTTGCTCTTGCAGAACACCGAGGTTTGGTTCTCAGCATACATGGTGGCTTACAACCATCCATAACTCCAGCTCCAGGGCATCTGACAACCTCTTTAGGCATTAAACATGCATATGGTGCATGTACATACATACATGTCCACAAAACACTCAAACCATAAAATTAAAAATCTTAAAAAAAAAACTTAAATAGCTTAATGATTATTTTTTTCCAAGACAGAGCTTTACTATATTTGGATTTTAGGCTGGTCTTGAACTCCTTATGTAGGCCAGGTTGGCTCTAGTTGATAGCAACTCTCTTGCCTTCTGAAACTGGGTAACTTTATAAATAAAGACATTTGTTTTGGCCTAAAGTTTTGAAAAATTTATTTTAATTTTGTGTGTGTGTGTATGTGTTTTGCTTGGATGTATGTACACATGCAGTGGGTGCTTGGTGCCCCAAAAGTCAACAGAGGTCACCAGATCCTCTGGAACTGGAGTTAAGCATGGTTGTGAGCATGGGGGTGCTGGTAACTGAACTCAGCAACTGAACTCTGGAACAGCAACAAAGTACTCCTAACCACAGAGCTTTATCTCCAGCCCCAGCTCAAGGTTCTTGGGGTGCACAGTTGAGATGCTGTATCTGGTGATGATGTTCTTGCTGGCAGAGTTCTGATGGCACAGGGTATCATGTGGAAGAGACAGGGCATGTGTATGTGCGTCTCTTTTGGCCTCTCTTACTCTTCCTATAAAGTCACCAGGATTTAGTCTTGGGGGATACAGCCTCAGCACCTTGTCTGACCCTAGTCACCTCCCCAAAGCCCCATCTCTGAATACCACAACATATTTAAACGTGCAAATGTTTGAAGGGCATGTTCAAATCTTAGCTGAACCACAGCAGCGTCCTAATGAAATACAACTCAGATGAAGACAAAGCATTTTAATCCCCCAGCGCCCAACGCTCACTCTGCACTCCTCAGAGCATTGTGATTTCTGTCTCAGTGACAAATATTACCTGTTCTTGAATTTCATATAGAGTTGTGAGCATATACTCTTAGGTCTGGTTCCTTTTTCTTTTCTCTTCCTTTTCTTTCTCTCTCTCTTTTCTTAAGGAAGATTCTTATATAGCCCAGACTGGCCTTGAACTTGCTATAGCCAAGGATGACCTTGAATTCCTGAGCCTCCTGCCTCCATACCTCCTTTTTATGCAGGTTAGGACATCAAGAACCCAAAACTTCCTGCATGCCAGGCAACCAACCCAGCCACATCTCCAGCTTATTTTAGGTTTTTTGTGTATCCATTGTTTATGAGTTTGATACATCTTAGTGAACGTAGTAACTATATTTCATGCTCTTCACATTGACTCATAGTTTGGCAAAATATAAATGTCATGATTTGTTTGTATATTGTACCATGGTTGGACATTGGGTGGTTTCCAATTTGGGGCTTTTACAAATAAAGCTATTGTACACATTCTTGCATCTACACACTCATTTCCCCTAGAGAGGGATTGTTGGGTCACACAACGGATGTCTTTTGCTTTAATAGAAACTGCCACATTTTCAAAGTGGTGAAAATTCACATTTTCTTTCCCTGAGCCGCATCCCAGCAGCAGGAGCGTTCTCGTCACTCTGGTGTCTTGATGTGCACGGTCACCTTGTGTCGAGCCATTCTTCTGAGTCTGTAGCTGCGTTTCACTGTGACTTTAATTTGTATTTCCACAATAGGGGAGGCTGTCGAGTTCCTTTCCACTGTTCTTTTAGGAGTGACAGGATTTTGTTTGTTTGTTTGTTTGTTTTTGAGATAAAGTCTCAAGTAGCCCAGCCTGGCCTGGAACTCCTGATTCTCCTGCCTCCAATTCTCAAGTGCTGAAATGACAGGTGTGTGCTACCATGCCTAGTTCAAATGTGTGTGTGTGTGTGTGTGTGTGTGTGTGTGTGTGTGTGTGTGTGTGTGTGTGTGTGTGTTTTGTGTTACTGAGGATTGAACTTAGAACCTTGGGCATACTGGGCAAGTGAGTCACACCTCTAAGGTTAAGCACTTTTGCATATGTATTTCCCATTTGTGTTTGTCTGAGTTGCTGTGCATTTTTAAAAATAAGTATGTTTATCCTTTTCATATGGAGCTTAAATCCTCTATATAATCTGAATGATGTTTTGTTTTTTGTTTTTTCCAGACAGAGTTTCTCTGTCCAGTTCTGGCTGTCCAGGAACTCACTCTGTAGACCAGGCTGGCCTTGAACTCAAAGATCTGCCTGCCTCTGCCGCCAGAGTGCTGAGATTAAAGGCATGGGCCACCACTGCCCGGCATTTAATGAAGTTTTATCTCACTCAAAATTTACACACACACACACACACACACACACACACACACACCCCTCATTACCAGTACTCAAGCATTTGAAGTCAGTTTGACTCTATTAGTAAAAGCAATTTTCTCATTTTAGGAAATGATCCCAGATCATCTAACACACGATGTCCCCACTCATGTGTACATGGTATAGCCAGGTTCAAAGGATGCATCTGCCTTCCAGAGGCTGAGCAGAGTATTTACTCTAGATTGGATCCATAGTAGCCTCTGGTTAGCAGGTGATGGTGGTGGTGATGGGGCTTGGCTCTTGGCTGTGTCTTCCCCCAAGCCAGGCTGCTGCTGCCTGCCTTTACCCATGGATCTGGGTGGTAAGAAGTATAGAGAGGAACCAAGAGAAGCAGCCTCATCAGGCTGTTATCCAGAGATGGGTTGCTACATCCAGCTGGGTGTTCACTGCTTACCATGTGACTGCCATGTGGCAGGTTCGGGGAATCCATGGACAGTTAAGACAGTAGCTTCTTTCGGGGAGGGAACTGTGGTCAAAAAGAGTTAGGACATTGAGCAGGACATCACAGTCTACAGTGCTGAATGCCCCAAGAGGCATAGCTGGTCGGGAAAGCCAGAAGAGGAGGAAGGCCAGAAGCATCCAGATGTGCCTGGAGGTCCTTAGCTCTGGATGTGTACCAGGGACATCTTCACAGTGGAATCGATGCCATCTGAGCTGTGCCTTGACAGATAAGCAGGAGTCACTAGGCAGAAGGTGGCAACAGAAACTTCCTAGTGAGCTCGGTCTAGAGAGTTTGGTGTGTCGAGGGACACTGCAGGGGGATGAGGGACTGTGTGTG